TATATATCCCCGTCCACACAAGAGGAAATTAGACCTGCCAACTCATCATCTCGCCGCCGTTGGCAGAACCGTATAGTGTGGCCCACCTCGCTACAATGCCAGCAGGTGGCGTTTCGCCAATCAAAGTCGGGCCTCCCATACCCTTGGCCCCCTCTTGGCCACCTCGGCCACCTTGGTTCTGACCCCCCTGACTATTCCAACCACCCCCTCGACCCCCACCATTTCCTCCTCGGCCTCGGCCGCCACCTCCTCGACCCCCTTGACCTCGGCCTCCATTGCCTTGTCCGCCTTGTCCTTGGTTTCCTCCACCGGCCACACTGACCTGCGAGGCCTGTTGGGAGGGAAGTGGTTGGGCCACAAACTGACCCTGGGCCGCAGGGTAGTTCGGGGGCCCCATACTTGCTGCTGGGCCCGCATAAGGAACCATTTGCCCGGGCTGAGTTTGACTACCCCCGCACGAGGGGCAGTGATTACAACTGGGCCAGGATGCAGGCTGACAATGCGGCACCCAGTGCCCACAAGCCGGCGGCGGCCCCATACATGACGGCCCAGCCGTCGCTGACGCTGTCGTGGCAGCAGGTGGCGACACAGCAATCACTTGCGGGACCTGCCCTTTTCCGGATCCTTGACCTCCCACTTGTAAATTCCGCTGCTTCCTCTGGGCCTTGGTTAGGATCTGGGAGCCCGTCTCTTCTCCGCCATAGTCCTCGCGCCTAGCCTCCTCTTCCACTGCCCCCAACGCCCGGCCTTGGGCCACGGTCACTCCCCTCTTTTGCACTTCTGCCTCATTATCATACCCCAGCGCTGCCAATACATCCATGACGATCCTCTTCACCCGTGGGGTCCCGGACGCGGTGGCGTCCCTTTCCTTTCTCTTGAGCCTTTGCAGCCGCACCTGGTGCTGCTCCACCTGGTCCAAGCTCCCCTCTTCCACCCCTTTGTCGATAGTGGCCCAGGTGAGTTTTTCATTTCCCCCTTCGTGGCCCGTCAGCTCCGAGGCCTCCGAGCCAGTAAGCAGACCCAAAACTATGACACACTGTGTTTCTTCGGAGATCCCGTGCACCTTCCGCACTTTCCTTTTAAACTGGTGCACAAACGCCCCAATCGTGGAGAAGTCATCCTTGTTCATGGCCTCCAAATCCGCCATGGTTAGCAAGCCATCCCCCAACCTGTACTTTCTCTGCATCATGTCCCTGAACCTCGCCCAACCACCATTGGCGGCATCCACGACCTTGCCCACTTCCTGATGGTGGCTATGAAGGACGTATCTTAGGACTCGCTGGAGCTTGACCTCGTCCGACAACCCTACCAGTGCTTGCTCCGTCAGATCCAGCCAGTCGGACACCCGTTCTYCCTTGAAGTGGAAAGTATCAACCTTCGGGACATTGCTYGGCGCTCTCTCGCGCTTATCCAGTGCATCGATGAGGTCGTCGAGCGTTACAARCTTTCTCCCACCGTCCGCCATCTCCTCAGGCATTTTGATTAACTGCCTTCGGCTTCAATCCTCCTGTTGTAAGAAGCGATAGGACGAAAGGTTCCACTCAGCAGTCCATTCCTTCACGATCCTATCGGACCGACCCCCTAAGCACCCGACGCTCTGGACCTGGTAGACATCTCTCTCTCTACTTCCTACTTCCCTTGGGTTCACCTAAGTAAGCCCCATTCTCATCACWGAATTCACTCACATACTCACCTCGTTCATGCCATCAGCCAAGCCACCAATCARATCAACATTCACACCCACACTGCCATATAGATTACTATACGATTCATCTCATAGTTTTTTTCTTATTTGCTCACGTGCCTAGTTCTCTCTCATTCTCATACCCGGATG